GAATGAAATGCGAGGGTTACAGTCTAAGGGCTCTTTTATATGCGGGCCTTTGGCAGCTGAATAAACGAATATCCCGAAAATGTAAAATGGAAGAAAGACCCTATTATTTCGTAGATTATACAATTGTGTGTCGACGCACAATACACGCTAATATTTCATTGTCGCCCGGCTATTGTGGGAGAGCCGCCAGTGATATCTCTGTTAGGTTTTTGATGGAAATGAAATGTTCACTTGGCGGTCGTTAGTCATTTTTTAGTGTAATGAAATGTTAGATATGGAGTTTTTGTGCCGCTTTCCGAGACGTTGAATAATCACATCGTTACTGAACTTCCATGGCAAAGCTCAAATTAGATTAACCCATTTTCGAACCAGCCCAGCACTATAACTATTAACAACAATAGCCAAAGAAATTTCCAAATCATCAAATGTTGTCTCTTTCATAAAGACACAATGAGACTTTATCATCTCCGGACAATGTAAGTAAGTTTTCCTGACCGATTTCTTCAGTTTTATTTTCATCGTAGAACTCCTGATTAACAGTTTTATAAATTCATATTTGGGGTAGGTATAGTAGGTATTGACGACCCAACTTCTCTTCATTAAATTGTTCAGAAATACTTGTGTTTCTTGCGCGTGACGACAATTCATAAAAATTCGATAAAAAGAAGATGTTTTCCTGTTGGTTGTTAACTTTGAAACCAAAAAAATATTAACAGAATATAAGAATTCTTTAAAAGAACATGGATACACTTTTCCACCTTTTACCAAGTTTCATTGCATTCTCACACATCAGGGAGCTTGTCATTTAAGATACTTTTCCAAGTAAACGTTAATAATTGTGTTAAATGTGCAGGGGCGAGTGCAAAAGCCCGTGTTTGGCCTAAAAATTAAGTTGTAGCCAATCGTCACAAAACTCTTAAATACAACTTGGAAGTCAATGATTATTTTATCCAATGATAAAAGAGCACCCAGAAGCTATAAAATTACGTTTAGCACAGCTATAAAGTAACGATTAAACTAATAGACCCTGAATTTACATCTGTTGGCAACCATAAGCACCGTAATAACAATATAACCGCCACGGTGTATGGACTACTTGTTGAGTTTGAATTTATGAACCGAAAACGGAGCTCGACAATGTTGCCGGATTTTCAGTTAGGAAATCCTGGTTTATAACGGAAGTTTTTCAGATCCATTCCAGATCAGACCAAAAGATCTTTTTACGTTTGAAAATAAATCTTTCATGTACCGGAATTTGATACACTTGAGACTCAGTTGTTGAAACTTTTAAAAAACATTTTTAGAATAGGTTCTCATAATGACAGCAAGGGTTTTGTTTAATTTAATGGAAACTTCGTTCCCAAAGTATAAATAATCTTCAACAATTTTTTTGCATCTCACTGACAAAACTCAGCAGATTATTGTGACGCTTCTTTTGCACCAAAATATTAATTTTTTGCCAAAAGAAATTAGCCCCTTTGTACGCGTAATGATTTTTCAAGAAACACATCCCGCTTCCTTATGCACAGAGATCAAGACAAGGAGTTTAAAAAAAATAATTATTCCTTTCCAAAAAACTGTAAGTCTATAAGTGTGCATTTTCCCCTTGTTTCCAGTTACTACTAGGTGGTTTACCTACTGGTAAACTAGATGCATTTACACAATCAAATTTTCAATGTGTATACAAATTTCTTCCAAACAGAGTTGGAAATAGAAAGAAAACGGTGCTTCTAGTTGAGAACAATTTAGAAACAGTTGGACACATTTTTGAACTATGAAACTAACCATTTCGAGTATTGAAATATCCTATGACTCAGAAAACAATGAAGTGAAATAACATTTAAAATCCTCTTGAATAGTAAAATGGTGAAAAGGCGACAACATCGCAGAGAAAAACCCTACTTCGTGCAAATCCGAGCACTCCCGCCGCCATTAAATAAGCATTTCGGGTGATAAATGGCGACGCGTTGAGATTTGATAGTGCTGTAAATTATTTAACTCTTTTCAAGGGGGTTATTATTAAGTTGTATTATCGAATTAAACGACTTTACGACCTTAGGAGATAAACGACACTTAATTCGACCCAAACAAATCGTCACTGACGTTGCTCATGAATTACCTGGACTTCACTAATTTTCATGACGTACCTACATATACTATTACATGAGCTGTAGAGCTCAATCGGTATTCTCAAACGAGAATTATTGAGTGTATTTAACATGATAAACTGAAAATTGCCACACCAGTTCGATAAGATGTATTTATTCAGCAGCAAATGATCATTTAATTTGAGAGCATAAATCATTTCAACTGGATTTTACCACTACATGTAAGCTGGTATTGAGTGGTATCAATCCTGTATAATTTGTAAACTAATTGTCGATACATTCATGGGTACATAACTGAAGAAGAAACTTAATGGCATTCGTAATAACTACTTTAACTCACAAACCGTGTAATTTACCATTTTGCAGAGCGTTTATCTCGATAATTTTTTTGCCTTTACATCTTCTATTTGAAAAGGAAATTGCACCTAGCTTTTCTTTTGGTATTGATGCTACTGAATGATTTAGTAGATAGATTTACTTCCGGGGTGTGTTGAATTATTTGTTTTCAACTGCCCCTTATTGTAATGTTTATTCGTACTACTTGCACAAATTTGAAGATTAAAAGTAGACATATTTTTCCAAGAAAAACACGCTGAGATTAAGGTTGATGTACTAACTAATGTTAACTATTCACTCTGTGAAGAGCGGAAGTAGTACTTTATCACACGTATGCAGATAACCTGATTAAATATGTAGGGTGTTCCGTAAGCACATGATCAAAAGGTTATTTCGATATTCTTGGGTTCAGAAGAAGACAATCTGTCCTAAATGTTATTCAGCAAGAATACCTAGCTCCTCTGCCATTGATGGTCGAAGTTCTTCAAAGAATATTTTTTAATATGGTGCATATCGACTTTAATGAAACCCGGTGTGAATGCTCCTTTGTAAGTAACACTCATGTTTTGATTAAGAAACCGAGTTCATTCCTTTTTGATTTCAAAATTTTTGCGTGACTTGGAACACAAACTGGCCAAACTTTTTATTGGGTAGATGGAGTTTTTTTCATCATTTTTTTCGAATTGATGCACAAATTCTGGTCTGACATTTGTGTCCTCTTTGTAAAATCTTGTAGCATTAATAGTTTTTGCACAAAAAACATTTCTGTTTTCTTATCAGCTGACAATTTCAGACACACCTTAACAAAACTTGACTAAGGTTTTATAGTATTAGGAAAGCTCTCTTGAGAATTAGATTTGTTCCTACCATTTTTTCCTAAAAACTCGCCTCTTGCAACAATTTGCAAAAATTGCTAAGTTTTGCAGAATATGCGTCCACACATAGAAAGCATAAAATTAATAAATAAAATCACCCAGAACCAAATCTGAGCCTTTTGAAAATTATTTCTAGAGCCAATTAGAAACTATTGTCTAATATGTAGCTGAACTTCATAAAATACAAAAATTTGGGTCAATGTTAAACAGGAATTTAAAATGACAATTAATGGACATCTCTTAAAAGTCTATGCTTATACATGGAAGAGCTTGATAACAAAAAATTAACACATGAAGGAAGACTTTTGCAATATGAATGGACAAGGACATCCACTGGGCGTCTACCATTCAAAGTGGCCATGTCAAAAGCAATAAATTGGGTTTTTTAAGGCAAATGACGCGATTTTGTCAAACTCTCATCAACTTTCCAACTCCCAAAATAAATTGTATCAACGATTCGAAGTCGATCAGTATAAAGATTTGTGACAGTGTTAAAAATGCACGTGATAAAATATTGTTCATTGATCGGGGTAAACGAAAGACGTTATACATATATTATGGTTCCGAAAAAATAATTCTTTGAATAAAAATAAATGTTATTATAACTCTATATCATATTGTTTCTAGTGGCTTTAAGTCTTAATAACAATCTAACCTGGGAAAAAACCACAATCTCCACTTTCCTATTTCTTGGTGTTCCAGCAGATGTAAATACTCAATCACAAACAAAGTACATAATTCGCCGCGTTTTCGGCCACCGAAAATTTCCTTGATAAGAAACACGAAAACACGAGGTATGAATTTATGAAGTATCTACTGCGTCCCAAACCCCAAACTCAAACTGTTGAGTCCTTATAATGCTGAATCCCAAAAAGGAGCTGCGATAGAAGAAAAGCACCAATAAAAATAAATTGTCGCAATATTTCAAGTTCTAAATAGAGTGGTGAAACAGCTGGACACACTTCATTGTCGGCTTCACAGACATTTTCGCCCGCATAGTTAAGTGTCCTGATTTACAACCAAAGAAACCACATTTTGACAGTATGGGTCTGGTGACGTACAAGCAATGTATGTATTGTGCTACTATTTGAACAGCAATTTAATTTACGAATATTTTCAAACCAGATGATAACCATGATTGAGAGTAGCGCAGCCGGAAAGTATTATTTGAATAAAGTTCTCGTACTTAATTGAACTTTTTTTGAGGTTTTGAGGGTCTTATTTTTTTAAACATGTATATTTTTATATAAGGAATTATTTGATTAACGATTTCGTTTTAAAAATTGTCCACCAAAAAGTAGCCAATTCTTAAAGAAATTTCTAGTGGAGCCAAATAAGATTCCACGTGGAGACCCCGCTAGGGGCCATAAATAGAGACATTTGTCTATGCATTAGAACCGAATCAGTTCTGAAAGACAGCCAATAAATTCGAGGTACAAAAGTGTCAGCATCTGATGAGGGAGCTTTTAAGTGACCACCTGTGTATTCAACTGTACCTTGTCAAGGATAAGCGAACACACAAAGGCAAAAAGGTAATTTTTATCAGTAGGAATTTATCTGTAGGAACAGTAGAACAGAAATGGCCTTCGGCAAAGTTGGCTTAAACGGATATTTCGATGTCATGGAACATTCGTTAACGGCAGAATACAGTGTCGAAAAGGACCAGAAAGACACCACTTACCGAATTGACTTCGCATCCACGGATACAATGGACTTGGTATCGCTGATGAAGCGTTATTTTGCGGTTGCGGTCCCTGTTGCTGGGCATGCAACGGGGGCTGTTGATGCGCTGGCTGCTGATGCATATTTGAATTCTGCTGTGCCCCGTACATCATGTGCTGCTGCTGATTGTGTGGTTGATGATGCTGTGGATGCTGTTCCTGCATGTGATGTCCCATGTGAATATTTTGCGAGGCATCCAATGGGGGACTTCCTGCAGAGCCCAGCACTCCATTTTGGGTTACCGCAGCTGCTTGCAACTTACAGCTGGCATAAACAACCGGGGTTTGGTGTCCATTGGGTGCGGTCGCGCCAGCCATGTGACCCATATTAGTGGGGCTGTCTGCTCGGTAACCTGGTACACACTCTAGTTTCAGAAAAAAAAATCTTTTAGCGGGTGTATCCACAAATTTCCTAAGCCTACAAGGCATATACAAGGTGATTCAAACATTGCCAGCATAACTGGAATAACGATTGAGTACCAGAAATGGGCTAATTGCATGGTCTGTTTTTGAATCATTTGGTTTGAATTTTTATCGCCTCTTCTTGATTCCTATTTATTTTCCAATGTTTTTGCTGCTTGGCTGTTGACATTTGAAAAAACATTATTTAATCAAAACCAACACAAAAACTATTTCTTCGGATTCTCCAATATCGATGCTCCGATTACACAAGTTTAATCAATTTTTCGCTTCAATTTTGTAAAAATGAATTTTCTTCAACAAACTGTTCCTTTATTAAAACTACCGTTCAACTTTTGCTGATAACAGTCGTGCCTTATGTGCCAAACCCCTTTATACCCAGCTACCCCAATATTTTTTTACAGACACAATGGGCGTTCTATAAAATTATATCTACAAAAAAAAACAAAAAAAATATGGATCTGCTGTTTCCGTTTGGAAAAAGCTTGCAAAATCAGGAACTCTTCAAATAAATATAAATTAAGGTTTATTCCTGATGGCAAAAACAAAAACTCATTAACTGCACAAATAATTAAAAAAACAAAATTAATCTTCATTTTTTTTCAAACGTATTTTTTTCAAAAAGGCGTTTACTAAAAGATCATCCCATGGGAGTATATTTTTTTGAGCTGAATGGAAAACAAATTTGAATCTCCTTGTATACACAACAATTCATCATGTAAGTTTTTCTGACTGTATTTCTAATTTCGACATAAACAATGTTCCTGGGTTTCAGTCACTTATTTAGAATATAACAATTTATTATTCATTAATTATTATTATATTACTTATAAGAATTAGTCATTAAATAAAAACGTTTCGGTGTTTTTCCACCATCACCATTTTGCCTAAAACAACCTGTTGTTAATACAGGTCTTTGTGTTATTTCTGATAAAGGACCCAAAATCTTAAATTGTTGCTATGAATTATGTATATATATGAACAAAATAATTTAACAACTGGTGGTTTTAGACAAACTGATGATGGTGGAAAACATCGAAACGTTTTCATTTAATGACTAAATTGTGAAATTCTAAGTAAATAACTGAAACCCAGGAACATTGCCTATGTCGAAAATACACAACAATGAATCTTTGAAATTATTTGCGAATGTTCAGCACCCTTAACTTCCTTGGGAAAACCTGAGGCCATCTGGACTGGACTAATCTTATGTAAAAAGCTTAAACCAGTTGATTTTACTAGTAGGTAAGATATAAACAAATCGCTTTTTAAAAAGGGTTAAGTGAGTGTTTTTTCCTGTTATCTAAACTTAGCAGGTTTTCTTAAAACTGTCGAACAAAATATTATTTTCATATACCTACTACCAACCGTTAAGAAATATGCAAAGTAATTAGCAAGAGAACGTTTTTTTTCTTCAGAGGTTTCCAAGAACTGCACACATGCAATTCTTTCTATCAAAGAAGAGAACGAGGAGTAAAAAAATGAGAAAGGCGTATTTCTGAGCTGATTTCATGAGAAAGTTATAATAATCATGGGCTCATAAATGCTTGGTTTCCGATTACGGTGTTAAAGTTTACAAGATTTTATGTTCAGTTCAGAAATGCGTGAACATTTAGACCTTTAACTGCAAAACAAAGGAACTTTAGGCCTTACCTTATTCAAGATTTTAGGACATGCAAACAAAGACGTGTTTAATGTTGGTTAATTGATTGATAAATGGTGAAAGCAAAATATCTGATTAAACCGCAAATTGAGGGTCCTCACGGTTTCCAATTGAATCGATATTATTACTATCCAGTTATAGTGGATTATTCACTGAATTTGCTCTTATGGAAACACGTCGAATTCTTCTACCTAGAAAATTAGCCAAAGTCGCCTGCAATTCATACAATCTTAAGATGAAGAGATGTCAGCCGTTCTTGGGTTGAAAAAAGCCTTGATAGCCTTATTTTTCTTAGGAAGTTTCGGGTAGAACATTACTCATGATATCAAATTCGATAGTGATCATTAGAAGCTAGGATACATTTTCGATACACTTCCAAATTTGCTATGATGTGCAAACGTTTCAGTGACACTAATAATTTCCAAGAAATAATGCTATTTAGCCTTACCTTGGACTCCGTCCATTGCTTGTGCACTGTAATATCCCGCATTCCTAATATCCATTCTATCATATGGTGGGAATCTGGGGTAAGGCATACCTTGAGGTGGTTGACCAGCAGCGGGAGGCCCGCCATAATGATGGGGAGGAATTCCTTGGCGCAACCCCACCACAGACGGATCCCCTGAACATGAAGTTGGATCGGGTTGAATGGCACCCGCACCTTGAGGTACCTGTCCGTAATGATGCTGTTGGTGTTCAGCTGAAACGCCACCTCCGTTTCGCATGTCTGGCATGTAGTTGTTGAAATACGAACTCATGCTATTCATACTTAGTTTGCGCACAGTTGTTTCCACAAATCGGTTGTAATATCTATTGCGGGCACTTGAACCACATGAGAAAGCACAACTTTTCTGCAACTTTCTGAACTCACTTGCACAGAATCAATTCCTCACTAATACAGATAATCCTTCTGATTTGATGGTGATGATGATGACCGAAAACTTGTTCACCACTAGAACTCACAGAACACAAAAAACTGCTTGCAAAAGTTCCTGAAACCAAATAGAAAACCACTTTAATGCACAGTTCCTGTTTCAGGTTGATTATGGAAGGAATGGTCAACATGTTTATGTCATCAACGGTATTTACAAATTACAATATGCAATGCTACCACTGACTGCATTATTAGTTTAATAAGAGCAAATTTAAAGCAATTGCTGAATGCGTTTAAATTCCAGTTGGTGTCAGTAGGACTACAAAACGGCGTTGTGTTCTCGCATGTATGGCAAAATCGGAACTGAGCAAAGTTTTTCAAATTGCTGAAATATATTAATTGGCTACTTTGCAAAACTATTGTCGAAAATGAACAATTGCGTGGACGGCTACAGAGTACTGCAGCACAAAGATAAACCATGACAAAGGGCGCTAACAATAGAACCATAGAAGGGCATGTACCAATTGGGTGTTCAGCTGTGACATTAATATTTCAATCTTTCAATGCTGCTGCATTGTAACTGCACTTTATTTCGGTAACATATGACTACTCTTATTTGAACAGCTTTCGCATTTTCGTGTAAAAATTACCTAGAAAATTGGAATAAATAAGTCCTAAATCCATGTTAATCCAGTTTGTAAACGACTAGTTCTACAACGATTCAGCTTCAAACTAAACGCGCCCGTAAACCCAAACTTGCCATACCGATACCAAAAGTTAACTGTACAAAAATCCGACAACTAACTAACAAAACTCTGACAAAATGAATGACACATGACGCAAAATGGAACTTCATAATTAGGTTTCACGCTTCATATCCAGATGTGTTCGAGGTTTGAACACTTGCTTTTAGTTAGCCATGGTTGTTGTTTCCGAAACCCATGAATTTTTGTCAGATCTTGATCGAGATTAATTGGCATTTTCACGATCTATTGAAATTCTTTTGCCAACTATGAGACTGCTCGGATGCCGAACTGGCATCTGATTAATCGACTTTGAAATAGCTGCACAACGAAATAGGTTTAATCAATGTTGGGTAACTAAAAACTAAAGTCGTTCCATTTAGGACCTTATTTATTGCTCGGCTGTGTCTTCAAGTAAAAGATGTCACAACAATATTTCACGTCTAGATAAATTCCTTTGCTGCTAATCGAACATTACTTATGTAAATGTACACTCAAAATAAGAAACATTCACTCCAACGTGGCAAATTTTAATAAAGTTTAATTATACACACTCAATTTTATTGCAATTGAACATGTATGCTGTTCTAAAAACACAACTTTTAGTAATTCTACTGAAATTGCATGTCGCACTGAGACGAGCATAATTTCATGTAAATTCAGTATAATCAAAATCGATCCAGATGAACGCGTCAGCATAATTAAGATGTTGGGAAGTGAAAATAACTTGCAGAATGAAATTCCGGGCACGTCTTTTGCTATCGCATTCAGGAATCTTTTTTACTCGCGCTATCATGCAAACTCGGAACACGACACTATAATGTGCCCGCATCTTTAACCAACATAAGTAGTCACAAGTGCTTATAAATATGAAAATGTCCATTAGTTTGCAAATCGATATAGAAATTATGCAGTTCAGTGTCGTTCCTGGCTAATTTATGGTTTGCATGGTAGGTTTTATCAAGTGACCACATTTCCTGCAATTACCCCAAACTCTCCAAGATATCACGAATTTGAATCTCGCTGGACTTACTAGTCTTAACTCATAGCGATGTTGTTTCTTCAAATTCTCCTGCCCATACACATATACAGGGTGATTCTAAATTGGCCTCATTCCTTTTAAGGGGTGATAGAGGCTCCCTTGGGGAGTACGAGAAAAATATTGAAAATTTTTAACAAGAAGATATTAACAGTTGAAGATCGAATTTCAACTTTGTTTTTAAGCATTATTTTGAAATGGTTCCATGTTTAATTGGTAGCATATTGGAATAGTTAAGCATTCAAAAAGATAAATTACTATGTTTGCTTCAAATTACGAAAATTTTTGATATCAAAAAAGTTCTCTTCTACAATTTTTTGATGAAAACGCACAGCGGCAATGATGTTTTTTGCCATTAACAGGTAGTTACTGGTGGATAGCCCTTGTCATTCATAACAATAATTTGTCAAACTGTGACTTACTTTGAACTTCCTTTCACGAATTTGCGGATACACGATTAGCTCAGGGGAAATGCTACAGTAAGATAGCAGAACCTGAAAGAACTCACGCCAACAAAGGGCGAGGAGAGTGGTTCCAGGAAGATAGTGGACGATAGATGTTCGGGTTCCAAGCACAGAGGAACACGTAGTGGACATAACCGAATCAGGGCCTTCCAGGGGCACTCAGAGCACAATAACTGACACTTTCCCAAGCACCAAATAAATGCCGAGGGCTACATTCCTACCACGTTTGTACGATACACACAGCACAAGGAGACACAAATGGAGCAGGAGTTAATTAACTGAATACGAAAATTGATAAGAGTGAATAATAAGGAGATTACACAGGCACTAGCTTGTTTGGAGTTAACCATTCAAATGTTTGATGTTGTAGGGTTTATTTATAAACACCCATATTCGAGGTTATGAGAACATGTCGACATTTCGTCAACAAATCTTGCTGAGTTTACCGTTTATCCTTGTCTATCTTATTGTCAGTCTCTATAATTCCATGGTTACCGGAGTTTTGAATAATTACGAAGCCACAGGTATTTGCGCAATGTTAATTAGGCAGATTGCCTTGAAAAACATTGCTGCCGTATTTCTGGTATAGTTTTTTGCAAATTTCTCAGTTTTTAATAACAATTAATTTGTTTTATTATTTTTTCTGTACCCCTATAACAGCGCCAGACAACACCTCCAGAGTAATGACGCCAATTTTGAATCACCCTGCATTATTGTTTTTATTGTCTGGGAAAGTTATGGGTTCCAGAGGATTAGACTAAGCAGTTACTTCCACATGCCCGAAAACAAATTAAAAAAGTTGGTGAAAAATATCCCGGAAGCCTTCTAATCTTTCAGGGAGTCCCTATTGAAAAGGAATGTTTACTTAGGCGTAAGGGAAAGTGATTGCATCGGCTCGCTTTTTGTTCAGTTCTGGACGCCGAGTGATTTGTCAAGCTAAAAGGTTCCGCACTCGCACACACACATGTAATTCGTTAAAGGCAGCCATTGTGACGCCAATGCCACGACTACTTTTTGCCTGGATCACATTTTTTGGGGGTTACATCGGCTGAGATTGGAAACATGTGATTGCAACGTCTTAAATCAATGGATACAAACCGTGGGAACATTAAAAAGACGTGGCCGTTCCTTCTAATCCTCAAACATGTTAAGTACATTTAGCTTGGAAATATATCGCTTAGATAGTGATTTTTCATCACCAAGTCATCACATCAGTGTTATTTTAAGGTAATGAGGGAGCCATAGAGTGAAGTGAAGTTGAGCTTCAGACGATGTTCTGTATTCAAAGTGATATTAACTTTCACAGAACAAAACCGTAGAAATTCGGACTAATCGCAATTTGTGGTCAAACGATTTCCGGTATATGTTCAAATTAACTCACTTTATTCAATTTATTCGCAGGAATTAACGTTTCACTCTTCACACTTTGGTAAATTTCAAATTAACATTAGTAACAACAAATTGCTGGAGGCCGAATACCTAAACTAATGTTGGCGAAAGAATAAAAAAACCCGATATTGGAGTAAATTAAAATAAAATTAAAGTTAAAAAAAACCATATTAATTTTAATTTGAATAAGGCATTATTGTTGCATTTATTGTAAAGCTGTTTCAAGTCCTATTATAAGTCTCCTTTGAAACGGATATTATCAGGTCATATTCCACGTCATCAAGTAACTAGAAAACGATAACAGAAAAGAAAGATAGCAAGGCAAAAGGCAACAGAGTTCCAAATTGAATAGAGATCTCAAATTTTTTGCAACCAAATCCGTAGTAAATCAACAACATGAACATAGAAATAACTACACCTTATAGATTGTGGCCATCATTTATCATAACTGAGGATGATTCTTATAGGTTAGCTACAATTCGAACATTGGGATAAAAATCGCTAGAAGCTATAGACAAAATTGTTATATTTCTGGTCCTCGAATACATAAAAACTTGGTATTGCCAAATTTGGACCTACCTAAACCCATAAAAAAGTTCGAAAACCCAAATCCGTCAATCCTCCGACCATTTTCCATGAACGTGACAACCAAAAACGCAATGAATCCACACACAAGAATTATGATTTTGTGACGAAAATTTTTCAACAAGCGCCCTTTTGAGTGAGCCTTCAAAGAAAACTTATAACATCAGACGAGTTTTTGATGAAATTGCGTCCAAGAATTAACAGGCCGCAAACCAATATCTTCAGTTCAAGAAAATGTCATAAGGAGTGACTGCGACTGCTTAACGATTATTAGTTAGAGAATAATTTCTGAGAACCGATTTTAACCATTATCATCACTGAATAAGTCTTATGTCTAAAAGCTCTTAAGTGGACCAAATATGTACTGAAAAATGCACTGCTGCAACATTTCCTCCCCAATTTGCACTCTACAACAAATATTATCCTCCATAGATGAGATTACTGGAGACAAATTAATAGACATCTTCTACGACTAACTACATACTCTACTTCTTCTATAAACGGCATATAAATGCTTCTCTGTTAATCCCAGACCGAAATTGTAACTAAAACTAGTTTTTTGTTGCTTGATCACTCTCAGTCAGTTTGAGAATTCCCGTTTTAAACTCCCAAGTTTTCCAAATCGTAACTAGGTATAACCTTGTTGAAAACTATCCTCTACATTAGATGAAAAGTTGCTCAGAGATAAATTGCGGATCCCATATCGGAAAATAATGAAAATGCAGCAAGTTCGGCGCCAATGTCTCACCGATGTGATGCCATGATGTTTTTAGACTCTCATCTACCAGAAGCAGACATGTTTTGATGTACCCTGTGCTCTCTCCCGCTTTTTGTTTTTACTTCCTGGCATGGATTTATTGCCGACGCGAGAGCTGAACACTGACGGCGTTTCGGATTT